GGCTTTAGAAAATGTTGTCAATGCAGTTTTTGATGGATCAAATGGCTATGCGGAGGTCAATTCGGAAGTTCACCTCGCGTTGTGTAGAGTTTTTGAAGATTTACTTCAGCAACTCCTTTCTTTGAAATGGACGGAGCCAACTCTTGTGGAAATCCTGGGGCACTATTTAGATGCGCTGGGTCCATTTTTGAAGTATTTCCCAGATGCAGTTGGAGGTGTCATTAACAAATTATTCGAGCTTCTAATGTCAATCCCATTTGTTGTTAAGGTTGTCTTGTAACGCTAATCTTGATTTTTAAATGTCATTACTTTTTAAGGGAGCCAATTTGAGCTTCTAATGTCAATTCCATTCGTTGTTAAGTTTGTCTTGTAACACTAATCTTGATTCTTAAATGTCATTATTTTTTAAGGGAGCCAAATTGACCTGCTGCTTTTATTCACTTGGCAGGATCCTTCAGTCAGCAGTGCACGCCATGCAAGGTTACAGATTTGTACATCATTTATTCGAATAGCCAAATCTGCTGACAAAAGTGTTCTACCCCATATGAAAGTAACTATTTGTCCTTTTTCTTCTTGTTAATGTATCTCTTCTACCTGTTTGAAAAATTACAGCATCCACCACTACTGATTATCTTCTAACTCAGATATCATCAATAGAAAGATCTAATGTCCTTTAACTTCTTCGATTTTAATGCATGTACAAGTGTAGTTGTGGACTCAATCCAGAGATATTAAAGAGTATAGAACTTCATCCGTGCATTTCTGACCAAAACTGTAGCTTATGTGGAGGCCCTTGTTTTGCAATTTGAATGATAGTTTGTAAGGGATTGATTTTCTTCTTTTTTATGATAAATTTTCATATAAGACTGTCATCAATGTGCCAAAGAACACTAGTACAGCCAAATTTTGGAGGCCAAATGCATGCCTAGATTGAAAGAGTCTGAGAATTCCAGGAAGTTCTTGTATTTATTTTATCATGCTGTTTTTATTGTAGGGAATAGCTGATACCATGGCATATATGCAAAGAGAGGGCTCTCTGCTTCGTGGTGAACATAATCTGCTAGGCGAAGCATTTCTTGTTATGGCTTCAGCTGCTGGGTAATTCCTTGCTTACAATGGTCTGACCCCTTTGTGTTTTTAACTACTTGAACTAAGATGTTTTGCTTATTGTTAAAAAGTTTCTTAAATGGACGCAGGACTCAACAACAGCAAGAAGTTTTGGCCTGGTTGCTTGAACCTTTGAGCCAGCAGTGGACACAGCTAGAGTGGCAAAATAATTATTTGTCTGAGCCACTAGGTCTGATCCGTTTGTGCTCTGAGACAGCATTCATGTGGTCAATTTTCCACACTGTGACATTCTTTGAGAAGGCACTTAAGAGGAGTGGAATCAGAAAAGGCAGTTTGCAAAGCATCTCAACAGCAAGTACTGTACATCCAATGGCTTCTCATCTGTCCTGGATGCTGCCACCCCTCTTGAAAGTATGCTGTTGCTGTTAAGAACCAACATTGTTATTTTTTCTATCTTTATCCAGGAATAGTTTATGAAGAGAAATTGGTATTGAAAACATGTTCTTGTTGTCTTGCAGCTTCTTCGTGCTGTGCACTCACTTTGGTCTCCGTCCATATCTCAAATGTTACCTGGAGATATCAAAGCTGCGATGACCATGGGCAATGCTGAACGATATAGTCTCCTTGGGGAAGGAAACCCCAAATTGTCCAAAGGTTCCTTAACCTTCATAGATGGATCTCATATTGATACAAGTAGGGAAGGACACACCGAAACAAATGAAGCTGATATACGGAATTGGTTGAAAGGTATCAGAGATAGTGGGTAAGTACAGTGCTTTGGAGGTTGTTTCTGACTTTGCAACTGAATTTTATGGTGAATATATATATCAGTTATTTTCTGCATTTCTTTTTCCTTGGGGCTCATATGGTTAGTAAAGTCAAGGTACTCAAGTTCAGCCTTCAATTATTCCTTTACCAGTGCTATTTGTACTTTTCATGATGAATGACATCTGAATATCCTTTGTGCATGTCAAGGAGAATGAATTAGATGAAATTTTGTATTTTTATTTCCTATCAATTCATTGCAGAAGAGATGCGCTATTTATTTAGTTTCTATCTCTAAACATATGTAATTGCCAAGTCAGAAGCTCTTAATGTGTGGAAACCTCTGAGGGTAGAATGCCTAATGTAGAATTAATAATCTGTTAATATTTAATGACTTGTTATGTTTGGTTATCCTTTTGAAACCTGGATAATGTCTTGCTCCTCTCTGCTTGCATGCATGTTTGTTGCATGCACATGATGCTCATTAGCCCATGCAACCACTATGATAATACCAATTATAGACTAAAATGACTAAACATATTTTTAATATGATATCCTAAGTTCACGCATTCAGTGAGAAATGACGAGTTATTTTTGCACAAGTAAATGGTAGACTACATGCTATCTATTTTTCTTGTTCATGTGATTCTTTCCTGACAGGTTTGTTGCTAATACATCTTCCATGTTTCCAGATACAATGTATTGGGCCTATCGATGACCATTGGTGATCCATTTTTTAAATGTTTGGATGTTCATTCTGTTGGTGTGGCACTGCTGGAAAACATACAGTCAATGGAGTTCAGACATACAAGGCAGCTTGTCCATTCAGCTTTGATACCTTTGGTTAAACATTGTCCTTTGGAAATGTGGGAGGTCTGGCTGGAAACGCTCTTGCATCCATTATTTATCCATGTACAGCAAGCTCTGACCTTTTCTTGGTCTAGTCTCCTGCATGAGGGTAAAGCAAAGGTCCCAGATGTCCTTGGCATCCTTGCTGAGGCAGACTTGAAAGCAGAAGTAATGGAAGAGAAACTGCTTCGAGACCTAACTCGTGAGATGTGCGTTCTTCTCTCTACAATAGCTTCACCTGGACTAAATACTGGGCTTCCTACTTTAGAACAATCTGGCCATGCTATCCGTGTGGATGCATCTTCTTTGAAGGAATTGGATGCATTTGCATCAAACTCTATGGTTGGGTATGTGTGCACAATAATAGCCCTTTTCTGTTGATTTTTTGAAAAGCTCTTCGTTGTATTTTTATTTTCTTTCCCCAAGCCCTGCTTATACACCAGAATTTAATTCTTTTACAGTTTTCTTTTGAAGCACAATGGCTTGGCTGTTCCAGCATTACAGATTTGTTTAGAAGCTTTCACATGGACAGATGGTGAAGCAGTATCAAAAGTTTTGTCCTTTTGTGCTAGTGTGATTCTTCTAGCAATCTCAGCTAATAATGTTCAACTCCGAGAATTTGTTTCTAAAGATCTGTTCTCTGCAATTATCAAAGGCTTGGCGCTCGAGTCAAATGCAGTTATCAGTGCTGATCTAGTTGGTTTCTGTCGAGAAATATTCATGCATCTCTGTGATAGAGATCCAGCTCCAAGGCAGGCAAGTTTTTATGCCCCATGTTATTTAGGGTTAAAATACTCACTAGTTTTATCCTACCATCTGCTGAACATTTTTAACTGAACGATGCATTTCCTTGTCTCCTCAGGTTCTGCTTTCTCTCCCTTGTATTAAACCCCAGGATTTGGTTGCCTTTGAAGATGCTTTGACCAAGACAGCTAGCCCTAAGGAACAAAAGCAACATATGAAGAGCCTGCTTTTATTAGCTACTGGAAACATGCTAAAAGCGCTAGCTGCTCAGAAGAGTGTAAACATTATCACAAATGTTACAAGTGAGCTCTGACAATTTTTGGATTCTAAATTCTTCTTTCACTCCTGGCATGAGATCATTGCCTCCCATGTTAATCTGTTGTGTTTATGTTGTGGAATTTGCATTCATGGAAACTATTTCTCATCTCCAGCTCGAGCTTTGAGCAACAATTATAATTTGCATTCTTGGTTCATTTTGTTGTCAGTGTAGATTCAGCTATTGATGCACATGGTCAAAATATATTTGCTTACTGGTCTGTTTTCTCCATATTTTCAGTGAGGCCTCGCAGCTCGGTAAATGCTCCAGAAACCAGAATTGATGAAGGGGATGCTATAGGATTGGCAGCCATTCTGTGAGGATTCTAATGATTGTTGCAGATTTGATGTACAGTCTACAGCCAGAAGGTTGACAGGAACAAAGAAGTGAGACCTTTTTAACATATACTAGGGTAGAAGACTGGAAGGCAGCTTTTATTTTGGCCTATTCCATAAATATCGGGGCACCTCCAGAAGCTGAATAGAAATTTGAAGAGTTTGACATTCCATGGCATGTCTCCGCGAGCTCATGGGGGTGCCCTAAAATCATATGGAGGGGGTGCCGTAAAATCATATGGAGGGACGAGGTTTCTTCTGTGTTTTTCTTGCTATGGAAAATTGTCTCATGGAGAAAACTTAGAGATATATTCCGATGAAAAAACAAAAAAACCACACTATGCTCACCTGTATTTTTGCTTTCTTGAGCAAAACAATGATCTTTAAATTCAGTTGCCGTTCACAATCTCCTCTGTTTCTATTTTTTTCCTTTTCATTTAAATTTTTTTTGCCAAGCATGGAGCTATTTGGTGCTTTTATATTTATGGCCACTTGATGCTGTGGGATCAACGGAAAGTTCTAGCAGGCAACAGCCCATGCAAGTAGATCTACATCTACCAAGCTTAACTTGATCCTGATATGGTGCTTGCTGCCACTGCCATTGCACTAATGAAATGAATTGGTTTTGACATGGTTTCAGAGGATTTTTTGGGGGGTTTCGGCCTGGCCTTGTAGAAACATATTAGGATTAACGACATTACCGTGCCAAGTCGCATGTTTCTAGCTGGAACTCAGGATTGATGCTAGGGGCATTCGGGAACTGACATGAAGCAACCAAAGACTGCCGCCTCTCTCTTATGTGCATGCATGATCAATTCAAATTGGACTCTTTGACTGAAGGTATTAATTAGCCTTGAATGGTAGCTTTGAATGTTAGGTCAACCGTGAAAAATGTTTGATTCAAATATCAGGTTGAAGGGTAGCATTGGTGAGAAGAGTGAAATAGGAGGCCAGATGCTTCCAGCCTAAGCAAAGTATCCCTATTCCTTGAGTATAAAATATAATCCTCTTTAAGAGCTATACCAATGTCTGTGTAGTTAGCCAAGTAGCAGGGCTTTCGAGTTTCTTGCAAACCTTATCTGGTATAATCTTCAGCGGTGGTTTCAGCGGTGGTGATAGGATCATCGTGGTGTTAGCAACTAGATTTTGTTAGAGAGCTAGGAGGAAGCAATGGGACCAGGAGGACCCGGAGGAGGACCCGGAGGAGGACCCGGAGGAGGACCCGGAGGAGGACCAGGATGGGGTCCGGGACCAGGAGGACCCGGAGGTGGACCAGGATGGGGTCCGGGACCAGGAGGACCTGGTTTTTTCGGTGGCTTTTGTGACATGATAGGTTCTTGGTATGCTATAGAACTTTGTTTCTGTCATAATTAACTTCGAGACTGAAATTGCAAGATTTACAAGCTGTTAAGCTGTTTTTTTTTTGTTGCTTTTCACCATTTTTTTTCCTTAAACCTCTCCAGAATTTAGCAGTTAATCGTTCTCCTTTTGTTTAAAAAACCCTGCCAAAAATATCCCATTTCTAGCACTCGTATTTCTTTTTTTTTTCCAAGAATCTGTGACTGTTTTAAGCCCTAAACGGCTGGTTTTAAATTCTTCTTTCCCCCCTCCCTGTAGCATCATGGTAAAACGGTATTGTAGTATCCTAATAGTTTTATGCAGAAAACGTATTTAGCATTATTCTGAGAATTAAACCTTGTTTTGCTGTTCTCTAATGCTTGATTGCTGTGTGCTTGGCAGCTTGAGCTGCCTGTGCTGTTGCTGGCTAATACGAGACTGCTTTGGGGGTCCATTTGGCCCACCTGGACGATGATTAGCTACAACAAATGTTTCCATCTTATGTTTCACGTTCTTCTTTTAGGGTTTCCTATCCCATGATCGAATCCTTTAGTATAGGGATCTACCCTCTGTTATGGGGCTTCTATCCTATTCTCCAGCCCTTTTTCTAGAGGAAATTCTTCTATTTTTATCTTTGTTTGCATGTATTTCATCGATGTCTTGTACTACAGACGTGCAATGATATCTATTTCTTCATAATCTTATTTTTTTTAGTAATCAAGAATTGCATTAAAAAATAGCTATTTAGGTGATGGCAAAAAAACTGGAATTCGATACAAAAAGGATGAACCAAAGAAAAAACACGGTGAAAAAATAATGAAATGGACTTCTAGAATAGTTCATCTAGCCTAAACAACCCAGCAATAAAAGTCATTCATCCAAAAGCCCAAGAAAAGATCCAGCCGGATAAAACATCCAAAAATAGAAGTTATTCATCCAAAAGCCAAAACCCACAAGAAATGATCGCCGAAATTACGCAATTGTTAACATGCTGCTGTTAGATCAAAAGTAAATACCATTGCGATTCTAGCTAGATCTGTATATTGTTGAAAGTTGTGTCGTTAGAGCACATCTGTAGCAATTGAGCTGGCATGAAACACTGGCAACGTTTCTATGTTTCATCCTTCAATATCAAAGGACTAAAAAAGAAAAAAGAAAAAATCTTCATGTTTTCATCGATCTATCAACCACGGTGTTTCTCTATGATATTGATAAGAAGAGAATTGAGGGGGGGAACATGTAAGGGACTTGAATTTTTATGTTAATAAGTTAGAAAATGTATTCTTATCAGTCTCCTGACTAATGTATTTTCGTCTTCTCGGAAGATGAACAAACAAGAGAAACCACAGTCTGCTCACCTGTATTTAATTTTGCGTTCTTGAGCAAATCTATGATCTTTAAATTCAGTTGCCGTTCACAATCTCCTTTTTCAAAAAAAAAAAAAAAACAAATTGCCAGGCGTGTAGCTATTTGGTGCTTTTATATTTATGGCCACAGCTTGATGTTGTGGGATCAACGGATAAGTTCTTGTCGGCAGCCTATGCAAGTAGATCTACGTCTACCGAGATGAACCTTTCTTTTTTTTAAGTTACCAAGCTGAACTTGACCCTGGTACAGGTGGTGGTGCTTGCCGCCACTGCCACTGCCATTGCACTGATGTAATGAATTGGTTTTGACATGGGAGGATTTTTTGGGGATTTGGCTTGGCCTTGTGGTGACATGAAGCAACCAAACACTGCCACCTCTCTCTTATGATCAAATCAAATTGGACTTTTTGACTGAAGGTATTAGTTAGCCTTGAATGGTAGCTAAGAACGTCAGGTCAACCGTGAAAAATGTTTGATCCATATATCAGGTTGAAGGTTAGCATTCGTTAAAAATGTGAAATGGTAGACAGATGCTTCCAGCCTAAGCAAAGTATACATATCCTATAAGTACAAATTCTAATCCTCTTTAAGAGCTTTGCCAATGTCTTTGTAGTTAGCCAAGTAGCAGGGCATTCGAGTTTCTTCCAAGCCTTGTCTAGTATAATCTTCAGCGGTGGTGATAGGATCATCGTGGTGTTAGCAGCTAGATTTTGTTAGAGAGCTAGGAGGAAGCAATGGGACCAGGAGGACCTGGAGGAGGACCAGGAGGACCCGGAGGAGGACCAGGATGGGGTCCTGGACCAGGAGGGCCAGGAGGATGGGGTCCGGGGCCAGGAGGGCCAGGAGGATGGGGTCCGGGACCAGGAGGGCCAGGAGGATGGGGTCCGGGACTAGGATGGGGTCCGGGACTAGGAGGACCTGGTTTTTTCGGTGGCATCTGTGACATGATAGGTTCTTGGTATGCTATGAAACTTTGTTTCTGTCAAAATTGCAAGATTTACAAGTTGTTAAGCTGATTGTTTTTTCGCTTTTCACCATTTTTTCCTTAAACCTCTCCAGAATTTAGCAGTTAATCGTTCTCCTTTTGTTTAAAAAACCCTGCCAAAAATATCCCGTTTCTAGCACTCGTATTTCTTTTCTTTTTTCCAAGAAATTCTAGGACTGTTTTAAGCCCTAAACGGCTGGTTTTAAATTCTTCTTTTCCCCCTCCCTGCAGCATCATGTTAAAACAGTATTGTAGTATCCTAATAGTTCTATGCAGAAAACTTATTTAGCATTATTCTGAGAATTAAACCTTGTTTTGCTGTTCTCTAATGCTTGATTGCTGTGTGCTTGGCAGCTTGAGCTGCCTGTGCTGTTGCTGGCTAATACGAGACTGCTTTGGCGGTCCATTTGGCCCGCCTGGACCGCCCGGACCATTTGGACGATGATTAGCTTCAACAAATGTTTCCATCTTATGTTTCATGTTCTTGTAATAGCTAGGGTTTCCTATCCTGTTAAGTATCTAATCCTTCAATATAGGGATCTACCCTCTGTTATGGGATTTCTATCCTATTCTCCAGCACTTTCTCTACAGGAAATTCTTCTATTTTTATCTTTGTTTGCATGTATTTCATCTATGCCTTGTACTACAGACGCGCGCGATGATATCTATTTCTTCATAAAATTGTGTCTATATTGTTGAAAGTGGTGTTGTTAGAGCACATCTGTAGCAATTGAGTTGGCATGAAACACTTCCATTATTTCTATGTTTCATCCTTCTGATCAAAAGACTAAAAGAAAAAACACAGATCTTCATGTTTTCATCGATCTGTATATATACCAACCACACGGTGTTTCTCTATGCTATTGCCGAGAAGAGAATTGAGGATACAAAATGATAATATGGGACTTGGATTTTTATGGTAAAAAGTTGGGAAATGTGTTCTTATTAGTCTCCTGACTTGAGAACAACTAGGTATTTCGATGAAACTCTTCTTTTTCTAACATGAACGAGGAAGAAAACATAATTAAGCAGTAATATATATAAACTCTAAGTTATTTAGGGCCTGAATCTGTTTTTGCTGCTAGACTATACATGTTTGTATAGCCATGAGAATGTACTAGCTGATCAATAATATTCTAATTAAATCACGAGTAAAACAAATGTTACTCTACACATTAGTTGAAGGAAGGGAATAAGTGGGGACTAATTGAAAAAACAAACAATCAGAAGGTTATTATGTATGGTTTTTCGAGTTCTAGTCGGTACATGTATTTTTTATAAGAATTTAAAATAATTCTGTGATGATTTTCAAGTATATATAAAGAGAAATTAGATTTTCTTTGCCGCAAGATTTTCAAAAAGTTGCCTTGATAATATTCCAGTAATCTACTATGTTAATATTCAAGAAATCTGCTATGTTTAGGAATGAAAATCTTGAGTGTGAGGATAAACAATGATTAAAACTTTACTTCCATGTTTTCTTTTCTATAATTCACAAAATTATTGGTTAATGATAAAAGATCTCATATTCACAAAATAATTTTTTCTAGTAGGATTTAAGTATCCATGATAATAAAATCAGTTATTTATTTTATAAAAAATATAATATATAAAAAAATAGATTTTCTATTTAAAAAAATATTTTTTTTAGTTATATATGATAAATACTCTAAAAATAAAAATTTTAATACTGTAAAGAGTAGAAAAAATGTGAACCCTTTATTGGATGTTTTAGAGGATAATCCTTGAACTTTGTTATTTTATTAAAGAGATGAAGAATTATTTTTTCTTGAAAACATAAATTAAAAAAAATATCTCTTACATGTTAATGTTGATAAAAACAATTCTTAAATCAACCTTAATATTGATGGGAATACAAAGAATATGTAGAAGATTTTTATAAGTTATTTTGTACACAGTATTGATGTTCATAATAATAGCCCTTAATCAACATTGATGCTAACTTAAACATGACAGATTTTTTAAAAGATTTTGATATACATAAATATAGAGAAATAAATATTCTAAATTCTCAATATATTATATAAAAAATACAAAATAGCCTTGTGACTTGGTATGAGTCTATAAAGATTTTCTATTTCATATCATATTGACATGTATTGATTTAAAATTCAAGGATGTGAGGTTTAATATTTTACTAGACTTATAAGAAATTGCGCTACGCTCGCAACTAAGCCAAAAATATATATATTAGATATGGTATCTTATTAGATCTACATGCAATTAAACTTCATATGTAATTGAACTCAAAAGCTGTTAAGAATGATATTTTATTACACCCACGTCTAATTAGGCTAAGCATACAACTAAGTCTAAAATGTGTTGGATATAATCTCGTTAAATTTACGTATACTTGGATTCAACATATAACTTAATTTAAATAAGTTAGGTTTAACAGATTGTTAAACCCATATAAAATTAAGCATAGTATATAACTAAATTTGAACATACGATGGATATAATATCTTATTAGACTTGTGATGGATATAACTAAGTTTGAACATTCAATATATAATTTATTCTAAAAATATTAGATTTAACATCATGGCTGATCCACTTCCATTCTAATTACGTAGCTTAGTCCCTGGTCTGTCATGATTTTCTTTACCACAAGATTTTTCAAGAAGTGACATGATTTTGCCGACCTATGTGAGGTGGGCCACCAGGTCCACCCAGTTTATGTTCATCCTTCGTTAACCAATTACATACGTGACTAATTCTCTCTTTTATGAGAAAAATTATGTGACTTCTTTACCCTTCCATCGATGCTTTATGCTTTCTTCTACCACAGTACTCTTTGATTGGTAGTAGGGGAATATAGTAATAGCAATACATATGCCAGAATAAATTTATTTATTTCTTATGTCTTGCTTGCAGCACCATTATCATATGGGGGTGTTTTTCTTTTCTTCTCTTTGAAGGTTTGTGTGCTTATTTATTAACCATTCATTATTTAACTGAAGTTCGGTTTAGTGCTAATTTAAAAATAGATGACATTCAAGCTGAGCAAAACCCTACCTGCTTAGCATTGCCTCCATCAAGAAGTTAAAGAGTGTTGCCATAATCTAAAATCTTTGACCTTTTTTTATTTTATCTTTTATTAAAAATAATAAAATAAGTGATGATAAAAAAAAATGAAGAAAAATGAAGAAAACAAAAAAATTAATGAAATGAATGAAGAATAAATTAAAATTTAGATCAAGACAATATAAATTGAAAGTTTGGAGTAGTTTAATTAATCAAATCCAGAGCTTAATTGAATAATTGATACCTACAGAGATTTAATTGAACTTCAAATTAGTTTAATCATTGAAATCAGGTGCTTAATTGAAAAAATATCAAGGTTTAGGGCTGATTCGGGTTAACATTGCAAGAAATTAAAACACGAGGCCCATTTTGTGAATGATGCTGAAATGAAGGGGTCCAATTACAGTTTATAAAGTGGCTTGATCACAAACGTTCAAAACGTTAATGACCAAATCGAAAATGGCCATTCCCATCCCAAGAACGGCGCCGTTTCCAAAAGATACTGTTCGTCTTCTTCACCTCGCCAAACCAAGGGAATGAAACGCCGCGCCACGGCTAAACATCCCCGAAGAGTCGCCGACCTTTACCCCTGCATTAAAGTCCATGCGAGGTCACCTCATTATCTTTAGGCGACCGCATGGCATTCTCTAGCTACAAAAGCCAGAGAAAAGCCATGGCAGAAAAGGAAAGAAAGGACGAATAAAAAAACAGAGAACACGGACCAGCGAACCAGAGGAGAACGAGAAGAGGTACGAGAGAACACAGAGGAACAAAAAAGGAGGAAGAAAAAAAACAGAGAGGAAGACCGGAAAAAAAACCAGTAGAGAGAGAATTGCAAACAAACAGAAACATGGATTGAAACGAAGAGGGAGAGGGACCAGAGAACACGAATAGAGAAACAGAGCCGAAGAAAAGAACAACCAGAGGGAAAACAAACGAAAAGAGGAACAGAGAAGGCATCGTCCAATACACCATCATTTTCGGCTTCGTTCCCAGCTACACAGGTAAGCTTTTGTTTTCCATCCTTGTAATTACCCTCACTGTGCAAATCATGAGCAGGATGGGCTGGCTTCGTCCAGCCCATCAGTACATGCTGGGTCAGATCCAGTTTAAAAATACAAGGAATAAGCTGGCTTCAAACCCATCGATCTAATTTTTTTTGGATTGAAAATGTGTTTGGCAAAATATATTTTAATATTAATTTTTTTTATAAACTAGCTTATTTGTTGCATCAAAAAATTCTAATTTTTTTTTAGGTATTTCACTGTATAATTAATATATGAATTTTTATTGTAAAGTCCAAATCTGGTAAGCTATACATACTTATTATTTTAATAAATAAAAGTAATAGTAAAAAATATGTATGTCTTGCTTTCAATTCAAATTTTACTGAAATATTCATAGTTAAATATTTATTAACATCAGAATCAGAAATATTATAAACAGACTATCAGTAGCATGGTATAACAATCCCTTAGTAATTTAAGACAAAACCAGTAATGCGGTCTACCTTAGATAGAATGTTTAAGAAGTAATAATATATTTTTTTATATGTAACTAGTTTTATATCAAAGAATTTCTGCTGACTAATTACTAGTTAGAGTTCTTAGTAATCATAATACTAGATAATAATTTTTTAAATAAAATATTTTCTCTTAAGAATAAGATATTTGAAATCTATTCTTATCTTGTAAAGAAATTTTAAAAATCATTATAATATCAGGTGTGACAAGTATAATCTAGACATCAACGGTGATTAAGCAAACCATGTTAACAAAATAATCTCCTCTCCCTCCCTTATAATGGATAGGTTAAGGTTGAACCATGTGGGTGACAATAAAATATTAAAAAATAATATAAATGATATCCTGTGATTTTATTTAACAACTTAAATTTTTTTATTGAATTAATTTTTTGACTTGATTATTAGTTCTAATTTTATTATCTTTATTTATTTAATAAAAATTAAACATAAAATAGTAAAAGTTTGTACAAGTTTCGAGTTCAAAGAACTTTTCACTTAAAATAATGTATTAAAAAATAATATAAATTATATTCTAGAATCTCATCTAAAAAACTTAATTTTTTAAATAAAGTTGATTATTTGACATAAAAACATAAAAAAAAAAAATTATAGCATGCTAATATAAATCATATTTTAGAATTTTAGTTAAAAAAACTTAAAATTTTAAATTAAATTTATTATTTGGCATAAAAAACATGGAAGAGATCGACTATAACATGCTGTGAAACCAGAAACATGTGCACCAAAAAATCAGTATAAAAATAGCATTGTTTTAGGAGACTTGAAACGAAGTTGTTAATCTCCCAAAAAAACATAAAGTTCTAGATTTACACTAAAGAGTCCTTAAACTTTATTTCTGTACAACTAGGTCCTGAAAGTAAAAATAGACATAAGGGCATAAAATAGCGACTTCCATTTTGCCAGTGACAAATAGTCATAAAAGACTGTAGATGACATTGTGGCAACGCCACCATTACCAGTGAGTTGGCGGATGATCATCATCCTTATTTTTTTCAAAAATAAATAAATAAAAAATAATTGTCTTCGACCAAATATGCCCAGGTGCTCAAGCTTGAGTGCCACCAAGCCCATTAGCATATGCTTGTCGCGTGCTCGACACAGCTTTCTTCTTCTTTTTTTATTTT